CAGCGCGCGTCAGAGTGAGCTGCGTGTCTGTAACGGAGTGTGTCTGGAGGAAAAGCTGCTGTAAACATGTCTAAAGTCCAAACGCTGAGAGCTTTTGTCCAGCAGCGACTAAGTGCGGCTGCTGAAGAGATATTTGAGCTGTTTGAAAGAACGATAGCAGAGTACGAGGAGGAACTTTGTGGACAACGCAAACTACTGGACGCTGTTTTCAAGCCTGAAGTCCGGTTACACAGAGCAGGTTTGTGCACTTTACTGCTTATTCTCGCTGGAAACTGCTGGGAGTCTTCGTCTAGGGCCCAATGTCCAGGCTCAGACTTGGAGGCGCGTTCCCGGCAAGTGCGCGAGGACATTTTGAGCCCTTTATAGGGGTCTATAAAATTTCGTAAGTCCGCATTTCTGCAGACGTTGGCTGAGGAACTGCCCACATTTCATAGCGGTATCACGTGAAACACTTGGGTTAGGGGAAGCGAGAAATCCGCGTTATAAGAGAAGAAGAAAAGCTGGAAACAAACAAGCATCGACACCAACGCTGATGTTAATACTGTGAAGGTTTTCTAAACTTAAGATGCTGCATAGATCACGTGAAGTCAGAGGAAAGCAGTCACCTTATTACACACTTCCTTTATTCAACTATTCATTTTAGTTTTTTCTTAATGATGCTGACCAACAATAGTTAAGGATTATTGACAAATATGGACATTTCCCTCTCCTCCACTCTGCAGGGCGAGAGCCTGCGGGACTGAAAAATCAGGCAAAAGCATAAAATAAAGTGCAAAGTGTCTCAGCGTTGTCAAGGTAAAGGGATAAAGTGTCAAAGTGCTGTCCTGTTTACAGCATTTTGAGCCCTCGCAGCCTCTTAAACTCATTCCCTTTCCAAGTAACGTCAGTAAAGTCTGTGAGGGTTCAGGCTGGGGACATTGGGATTCGGCCTGAGTTTCTATGTTTTGGGGAACAGAGATCCTCTCCCGTCCAGCAAAACAGCAAGAAAGGAGAACACTACACAATCTCACAGCTTGACCTAAACCCTAGTGGACAGAAGAAGGAAAGGTTAAGGATAGAAAACACAACACATAAGATAAGACATAACAACATAATAATTTTAAGAAGTAATAATAATAGTAAAAGAACATGCATAAAAGCATAAACAATTTTCTGCCGTAACGGGAAAGATTCATATCCTTTACTGCAGTAAAAGTACTAATACCACTGTGTGAAAATACTGCACTGCAAGTAAGAAACGTTTTTATATGTAAAAATGTGATGGGGCACCAACCATTTAAAAAGGTAGGCTATACCAGTGAACTACAAAAGTCCCTCTTGCTACTGATGTGTTTTTTTAACATACCAACAAACAGCATGGCTCAAAACACTTTTTTTTTACAACAACAACAACACCGGTGCCGTGGCATCTTAAAATGAGGTGTGGTCAGGCAAATTGTTGGCGCATTGCTATCTTGAGGCAATAGAAAGCGATTGCAAATCCCCCACCACCACCAAAAAAGGGGCTAAAGTCAACGGAGCAGTATTTCACTGTTTATTTTAGGGTGCATTACCTCCGAAGATGCGCTTAAGAGATGCTGTGTGCATTTATGCACGAGGCACAGCAGCGCAACGTCCTTGATTATTAAAATCTCCCGTCACGCTGACAGGATTATCAGGATCTAATGTTAATTCATGTTCTGTGTCCTGCTACACATCTAAAAGCTCTCACACACAGTCCAGGTTCATACAGTCAAACAGTTTGGAGTAAAGCACCGTCCTCCTGATCAATCCTGAGCTCCATCAGAGCGTCTGAATTATTTCAGAAGTTAAATGTTGAAGTCTGTTTACTCTGGAGAGTTTCCGCTGTCCGGTCATGTCAACTTTATAACTACATTATCTTATTTTTTTTTTGCTGCTTAAATGGCCCACAATATTTGCTGTGACTTTATTCCACACATGGAAACATTTAAAATGAAATAAGAAAACACTCAAACAGCAATAAAACACAAAATAAAGAAACTACATATATGTGACCCACAGTGAGGGTCTGGATAGTCGTTTCATAGAGAAGACAGCTTCTGTCTGTTAACAGACACTTCACTGATAAACCAAAGAGCTACAGGGGAACATTAGGTTTCATGATCAGAGACAGTTTTTATATCAAGTACACATCCCCTCTCGACTGTGAGTCTACAATTCAATCAGTCAATTGATTGTTTAAATATTGCGGCGATCATCCACTATTAAAATGGCAATGCACCAAGGTACAAGCACAACTGGCTTTTGAAGGGAATGGGGGATGACACTCTGATGGGTTTATTGCGTGTTACACCCAGAACACACTCATGACTAATTCACCAACTAAGTACAAACCTTTTGAACCATGCGCCTGGTACTTGACTATTTTTTCCACCGTTAAACTAGTAATTTTGGAGTTGGACCCACCCCAAACACAACTGCGCCACATGCTTTAGGCCGTGCACTTAGATGGTTAAAATACGGCTCTAAATCTCAAAAACAGGAAATTACAGAATTCTAAAACATGCATGTATTTCATTATTTTCTACAGAAGTCCAGTTGTTTATTGTTGAAAAAGGACGATGTTCCCCCTGAGCAGCAGGGGTGGTGCCCCGGCCTGGACCAGGAGGACCCGCAAGAACCCCCAAACAGCCCCAGCCTGGACCAGGAGGACCCACCAGAGCCCCCACACATTAAAAGCGATTGGAGCCCCAGTCTGGACCAGGATGACCCACCAGAACCCCCACACATTAAAGAGGAACAGGAGGAACTCTGGACCAGTCCGGAGGGAGAGCAGCTTCTAGGGTTGGAGGAGGAGTTCACATTCACTCCAGTCCTTATGAAGAGTGAAGAAGACAATGAAGAGAGACCTCAGTCCTCGCAGCTTCATCAAAGACTCACTGAACAAATGAAAACAGAAGCTGATGGAGAGGACTGTGGAGGACCAGAACCAGCCAGCAACTCGGATCCACATAGATATTTACAACCAGCTACTCATGTCAGGACATCATGCTCCTCTGAACCTCAGACCGATGAGATTTGTGAATGGCAGGGGACCATGGAAACTCGATCAGGAGTAAACCCTCTGAAAATTAACAGTGGATGTAACACTGTTGGTAAATCATTTAGCTGCTCTAAGTGTAGTAAAGTATTCCGCCACAACTCGGGTCTGAAGAGACACATGAGAATTCACACAGGCGAGAAATCATTTAGTTGTTTTGTCTGTGGTAGAAGATTTGCACATAAGTTTCAACTGAGACAGCACTTGACCGTCCATTCAGGGGGGACACCCTTTAGTTGTATAGGTGAAACATTGGCAAAAAGCTCAGATTTGACCTCACATTTAAGGGTTCATACAGGAGGAAAACCTTTTACATGCTCAGTTTGTAAATCAAGTTTTCGTTCCAGACGCAATTTGTCCAGACACATGAGAATCCACACGGGGGAGAAACCATTTTGTTGCAGCATTTGTAATAAAAGATTCATTCGGCTCGATTATGTGAAAAAGCACAAGTGTGATGGCAAGAACAGTGGAAGTAAATGAAGCTGCAGAGATGCTTGTTGAGTCGATTCCTTCCAGCAGGATTGAAGTACTGAGGGCAAGACTCGATACTGATCAGTTCAAAACTGTGGCACAGAGTCCAAAATAAGTCGTGCTTCACCTTTTCAGTAGGCGTGGGGGGGGGAATCGATACAGCATAGTATCGTGATATTTGCCATGGCAATACTGTATCGATACACAGACGCCAAGTACCGATATCTTTATTATAAATTGCAGACTTTTAACTTTTTGGTAATAGAATAATAAAATCTATTACTTTTTTTAGTCCACTAGAAAACTTCATCAAGGATCATATAGAGGACTGAAAAAGTGATATGAACAAACAGAGAAATGTATCTTTTTAGATAAACAGATGTTGACAAAGTTTGACTTTTTGTACAGTACTTGAGAGTTGTTGGTTACTGTAATCATACTTCAACTGGGTGTCTTAGTCCCAGTACTTGTATGTATATTAATTGCAGTTGTTTTGTTGCTGCAACAAACCTCCCAAGAGTTGTTTTTCTTCTTTCTTCTCTTTTTTTTTTCTTCTTCTTCAGTCAAGACATGTTTGTTAATAATTTAGTTTCTGTGGATTGATAACGTTTGTTAACAATTAGAAGACACTAACAAAAATGTGTAAGGGGAAACAAGAATAGTTGTGGATCAATAAGTAATTTATAGAGCATATGTAGCATTGTTTCTAAATGATCGAACTTTAAATAATCATGCACGAAAACAAGTAAAACACTTGCAAAATGTAGTGTAACCTAAGACATAATAAAGATTTTGTAAACCTAATCTCAGCAGGTAAATAAGTTATTTTGGAGTTCTGGGGCTGATAGGTCTTAGTCACCAATCGTGCTCTGGGAACAACCAGAATGCCAACAGCAGTGGATGCTCAGAGGGCGTGCAGACTGAGAAGGGGTTAGTGGATCTTTGATGTAATTAGGAACTTGGTCATATAAAGCCTTGAAGTTCAACAATAACATTTTAAAAATCAATGCAGAGATTAACAGGAAGCCAATGGAGGGAGGCCTTAATTGGAGTTATAAGATCTTGTTTCCTTGAACCGGTAATAATCCTAGCAGCAGCATTTTGAACCAATTGAAGGTGAAAGAGAGAAGCCTTAATAAAACCTTGTAGAGGCCATTACAGATATATAGGAAGGAGAAATTAAAGCATGGACATCTCTGTGTAAGTCATGAATTGATGAGAAGGATCTAATTTTGGAGATTAACTTCAATAAGCTCTTGAAAACTCATCTCTTCCACATTTAACTCCTAACCTCTAACATACTCTTCCTGTGCTCTTCTTCTTCTATCCCCTTACAGTTCCCTTGTATTGACTGCACGTTTTTGTTAACTCTTACTTCTTTCCCCATTGATGTGATATGTGCTAATAGTTCTTACTAGTATTTATTGCTGCTCTTACTAATGTAGTATCAGTTGTAGATCTGTAGTTGATACTCTGTTGGTGCTTGTATGTTGTTCCTCAAATGTCAGTCGCTTTGGATAAAAGCGTCTGCCAAATGAGTAAATGTAATGTTAACTCAAGTTAAAGGAAGCATGACGGAACAACCTTTGGTATTTAAAACAAAGGCCAGAACGAAGTAAACAGACATTTCTTGCATTTGGCTTAATGTTATGTGATAGGGCTCCAATATTGTAGGAATGAAGGAATTGCGTGTTGCAAACAAGATCAGATCTCTAGGAGGAAAGTTGGTTTAGGCTGTTCGGATTAGTGGATTGTCACAGTAGTACTGTACATTATGTTCAGAAATGACCTGACCTAATGGCAGCACACAATGGGAGAACAGTAATGGATTGACTTTTGAGGAACGCCATGAGTGAAATGGGACGACAACAAAAAAGGTTCTACCTTTTTCTAAGGTTGCAACCCCAACTTTCAAGTAGAGGGATGGAGTGGTCTGCTGTACTCAAGTTTAGCAGCATGGGTTTTGACATTTATTTCTAGCATGGAAACTTAAATAAGGCTTTATCAGTACCGTGAAGAGCTCTAAAATCAGACTGACAGTTTTTGAATGCTGTCAGTCATAAACAATTAGTTGAAAGGCAATAACTTCCTCTGACACATACATCAATGATAGATTGCAAAAAGGCTCAGAAAATTCATGAATAAACAATTTAGTAGGTTTGTATGAAAGTATCCAAAGCAGAGAAATTAGATCAATCTTTCTAAATTTTCACATAGACATTTGCAATCCGCCATTTACAGTGTAAAAATAAACATCTGCCATCCGCCATCTGGGGTGCCTTTCATGACTCCCTGCGCTGGGGGGCTGGGCCCCCCTGAACCTACTCTAGGGCGGGACAGGGTTGTTGTTGGCTCTGGGGTGCTGGCGGTGCTCAAGAGGCACATGCTACAAGCCTTGGGCTAGAGGGACCTGGCGTCCTCTTGCCTTGGGAGGCGGGGGCCTCTGGGCTTTGGCTTTGGATTTTGCTCATGTCTGGGGCGGGTAGCGTGTCCCTGAGCCTGGGATCCATTGTCTCCTCTCCCTGCCGGGGCCCTCTTTGACAGGGATGGGGCTCCAGCTGCTTCCCCCTGCTGGCTCTCTCACAATGGGGGCGTGCAGCTGTCCTGAGTGCACATGGCCCTTGTTTTCATGGGGGGGTTGTTGGGGGTGGCAGACCGGGGGCTCTGGACTGGCCTCGGGTTCATGGGGCTTGGGGGGGGGTCTGCCTGCACTAGGGGGCATGGCCTCTGGTTGGTTCTTTATGCTTTTCATTAAGTTATTTATTTGATTTTTTTATTATTCCAGCTATCATTGGCTGTGCTGTGTTGTTTATTTATTTGCTTGACCGTTTTTCATTTTCATTCTCCCTCTCTTGTTTTCTTATGTCAACTATTTATTGCTGGTGTTCAGCTGGTTGCGTCTTTGTTTTTGTTATGTTTGTTTTATCTCCGCCCTAATCCCCCATCCCGGTTCTCTTGCAGGCGTTTCTCTGTGGTGTCTGTCTGTGTGGTGTTTGTGCCCCCATCCCCATTGCTGAAAGCGTAGATCTGGGAAGAGAGGGCCAATAACAAGGGCTGATGTTACACTCCGGTCCAGCAGGTGGCAGCACGCACCTTTAACGTTGCTTTGTAGTCCGCACAGAAAAACAAACACCAACGAGTATTTCCGGTGGCTAAACTGTCCAAGCAGAGCCTGCATGTGAGGATCAACGTGTTTAAGTGGACTCTGTTTAAACTTTCGGGATGTTTCACCTCAGACTCATCTCCTGTTAGCCGAGAATGCTAAAGGAAGTTAGCTTGTTAG